TTTCTTCAATACATTTATCTCAACCAATTTGACAGAGTAGGAGCTGAAAGTCACATTTCACTTTTTTTAAAAAAAAAAACCCAAAACCAAACAGATTTTAGAAAAATGTTTTCTTCGGTCATGCATTTTTCTTCTATGCATCGAGAAAGAGAAGAGGAGAGGAGAAGAGATTTGCTACCAATGGAAGAACCAATAAATTGGCACTGTGTAAAATTCTGGAAAGCAGGACTTTAAAACAAAAAACAAAAAAAACGATCGGCACTCACCAGTTTGGAAAGAGCTGAAAAGACCGAACGCCGTGAAGACGGCTGGTGTCTTCTGGTCCAGGCTGTTTCTTTGCGCCACAGGTCATTCTTCCCAGCCGCTTCACAAGGCAAACAAAAGATTTCTTGGCTTTTGGTCCCTTTGGCTCTCTTGCCTGTTTGGCATGCTGAAATTCCTTGAAGTCTTCCGTTTCCCTGGGAGTTGGGAAAGATCTAGGTCAAGGGGAGAAAACAGTTGTAAGCATTAGCCCGATCCTTAAGCAAGAAAGAGAAAAGAACTACAAAGGAGAGAAAAAGAGACGGGGGAGGATAATAATAATACGAATAACAATACTAATAAGGGGAGGAGGAGGAGGAGAAGAGGATGGAGAACTGCAAGCGCTTCAAGGGCAGGTCCCCATCAAGCGTGCAGATCGAAGGCAGGTTTTAACCTTTCGCTGGCAGGGGAGGAGGGCGCAGCAAGAGTCGATTTGGGAGTCTGTGTGAGCGTTTGGGGGAGGGGGAGATAAGACCTGTAAGACGGAAGCCACCCACCGATCGTTTCCCCCGTCGCCCTGGGGAGTAGTGTGGTGCCTAATTTAAAGTTCACCTACCCAGCCACCGGGATGGCTCGCTGCGATCTTCCAGCAGGATTTGGTTTCGTCTTCCTGGAGGGTCCCCTCTCTTTGCCGACAGGTTTTCTCCGTCGAGGTAGAAAATCGCAGGAACGCCGCCCTCCGGGCGGGCAGGATCACCCCAAGCCAGCCAAAAGAGCTGTAGGCGCAGTCAGGCGGACCTCCAAACCTCCCCTGATCTTCACCTTTACCTTTCACTAACCCAGAGCTCCGCTACTTTCCGATGCAGAAATCCGGAACACGAAGCGACCGCCAAGTCATCCTGCGCAAGTCCTGAGCTTCTCCTCTCCCCCCCCCCCCACACACACCAAGGACCACTGAACTGAGTGGGCCTCCTTGCGGGAGCATAGCTGGCGGGATCAGCTTTGTCATTTCCCCGCCTCGCTTCCTCTCTTTCCTTCAAGTCACCTTCCCCAAGGCTGGGGGGGGGGGGAGGACAGAAAAGAGGTTTGCCCAGGACCATCTACTGCAAAAGTATGCGCGGGGGGGGGAGAGCATGCTTTCATATGCAAATAGGTCTATGAAGATGAGAAGTTCATCATAAAAAAACCGGGGGGGGGGGGTGAGGCGAGGTGGGAGAGAGAATGCTAGGTGTTCTGGTCTGGTACAAATAATAAAGCTGATGTGGCTGGGGATGGAACTGAGGGCCCACATCCTCCTCAGGACTTAGAGGACAGGGCCAGGTAAGTCCCACTGATTGGAGAAATGGGTTCAATTTATCCAGGCCTAGCAATACAAATCATGAGAAGAAAAAAATAAATAAAACTTAGGCAGTCTGAAACAGTGCCCTAGCGATTGAACAAAAGCACCCAATTCTCATTTTAAAATAAGGCATTGGGGGAGGAGTTTTTGGGGAGGTTAAATTGTTTGACAGCTTAAGGTTCCCAGTTTTAACTAAGCACCCTTATTATTTCAAAGGATACCAAAAGATCAAGCCCCAGACAAACACCCCACCTTTCTACCAGTTGAGCTTAACAGAATCTCACCCTCTTTCTCAGCTAAAAAAGAATTCCCTTTTCTAAAAGCTCCTGCTCTTAGCACAATCCTATATTCATTTACTAGGGAGTAAGCTCTGCTAAGCCTTACTCTGAGAACCATGTTGACTTGGTGTGTTAATCATACTCTTAAAAGTCAAGTTCTTTATGGCCCCGCTCTTTCAAAACATCTGCACATCATTTATGATGGAGAGAACCTACAATGTACTGTTTCTAATGACAGTTTTGTGGGTCTAGTAATTTCCAAACAACTTGAAATTTAATCCAAACAATACATTTAAAATATTCAAACAGGGGAGGGAGAAAACAAGGAGATCACATTAAAAAGGTACACCTAATAGGTTATCTGCATGTCATAACCATAGTAGTAATAAATTATGGTGGATGTTACTACATGGTGAGCTATTTAAGGGATCTATTGGTAGCATTTATTCATAAAGTCCAGAATTTGAATCCTTTAGTATATAAAGAGTGGGTAAGTCATTCCTAGAGAAAAACGAAAGGTTTAGTAGCTTGGTTGAGAGTTGAAGGTAGATGGATGTAAGAGAAAGTTTGTGAAAAGAGTTTGGGGAGAGGAAGCTGATTGTTTTCACAACCAATACAGAAAAGTCATAGCCTAGTTATCTAGCACCTTCCTTTCTTCCTTCCTTCCCTCCCTCCCTCCCTCCCTTGATGGGGTTTGAAAAAGTAATTTGCAGCTACAATAGAAATAATAATGGGATAGTTAGATGCAACAGTTATGATTCCTTCTCCTTGGCCAGGACGCCCTGTATCCTAGGAGAATTTTTTTTTTTAAAAGGCAGAAGGAAAAGAAATGGCACCTGAATGATTTAATCCACAGAAAGCGGCATCTGAACAACAAGCGCCCGTTTACACACCTTCAAGATGAAATGCGTGCAGAGAAACACACTATCGCCCCACCTTTTTCTCAGCCACGATTACCCACCAAGTTTACCTAATTAATGCTTATTAACCAACGGGGGGGGGATTCCTCCCTCCTATGTCTTTGTTTAGGCTTGCAATTATTGCACCAATCTGGCTTCTACATGCCACGTCCCCCTACCCTTTCCAGACCTATATCTGTACTCACATATCCACACATATGATTTGGAGCACACCCATTATAGTTTCCCCCCCCCGGAAAAAAAGCTACCAAATAGCAGGATTAATCCATGTTGTTGGATTTTCCACAATATACAGTTCAGGACAAGAGTTAGATAACACACGAGGTACTTTGTCAACTGGACCACCAGACCCTTCTGCTGATTCGTTTAGCTTTGGCAAGTGGTGTAAGCCTAAGAATCTATCTCGGAAAATAGATTTAGTTATAGATCCAGATCAGGATATAGAATTCAGATAGATCTATATACAGTATATATAAAATCTGTAGACTATGAAGTCTATAGAGGAAAAAAATACCGGTAGAACTTCAGTTTTTTTGTTTGTTTGTTTGACTCTTTAACTTTTTTTCTCTCAAAATAAAATAAAAAGGATTTCCGAGGTGCTCCCCAGATTTTCTTCCTTTGCAAACTGATCTAGCCTATTTCCAACAGCGGATTGCGGGAGAACTGGATATTGACTTTTACAATTGTGTAGTCAGCTCATCTTCTTGAGAAAGTTAGGAAAACTTTGGATGTCATTTCTTCTCAGCTTCCTTTATCTCTCTTTCCTTCCTGATTTATTATTATTTCTTCCCGATTTAATACTTCGAATTTTGAACACCCCTCAACGCCACCTTTCCCCTTCTTAACGACGATACCAATCTCCCTGCATTTGCTCTTATCACTGGCCTAGCCCAACTTCTGTTCCTTTTGTGCAGGGCCTTGCTCTCTCCGTCTTCTTTCAAGGAGGGTGGAAGTCTCCTTTTAAAGCATCTCCAGGAAAGAGATTATTTTTCTTCCCCCGTGGTGAGAAGGGAGCCCGTTTATTGCCTTAGCCCTGGACATTTTGCGGACTACACAATTGAAACAAATGAAGAACTTGTTCTCCGCGGACTCTCTGCGGGATCCAATTAACCGGGAGAGGGGGGGAAAGCCCTTGCACAAATTCTGCAGTGATTTACAAGAACGATTGCCCTCCTTCCCGAAATTGTCCCTAAAACCGAATGTTTATTTTCCCCTCTCCGCTCGTGTGTTCACAAAACAAACTCTCAAAAGCAGCATTTGCCTTGTCTTTTCCAACCATCAATTGGGTCTGAGTTTAAGAGCTCTGAGGAAGCTGAAGTCTGTCTCTCTTTCATCACAGAAATTGATGTCATTCATAAGGACCTAAACGCTCAATTCTGCAGAGTCCGTGACATCATTGCCACATAGCTTTCTCCCCTCCCCCTTCTTCTAACAAATCTTTGTATATATCTTTCTGTTCTGAGAGAGGGGGGGGCACCAAATATCCCCTCCAAAAAAGCATACATGTAAAAGACGTTTTAAAAATGGCAACAAGTATACACGCCTTTTGGAATTTAAGAAACGGAATAACAAGAACTGCTTTTGTCTATAACTGTACTGACACAACATTCATACAGTTCACGCCTCTACACTCACAAAGGGCCAGAAGGTTTGCTTCCCATCCAAATGCTCAAGAGAGAGAGCCCAGACCTAAACAGCTAGGCCCTGCCGAGTTCAGATGGCTTTATTTATGGCCAAGACTGGGATTGCAAGGTCTCATTAAAGTCAACGAGGTTTACTTTTCGCAGTAAGTGCGGCTCCAATGCTGGAGGCTTGAACGGCAATAGCTTGGTTGCGTTCAAATGGTCCTTAATATCACCCCACACAGGCTACTAGCCCTTGCAAGGAAAACTGCTTGAAGTTAAAGCCAGAAGCTTGCCAGGCAGCCCAACGAAAACGCCAACCTCCTGGCAGGACAACTCCACGGTTTTGTGGCTGCCCCTGCAAACTGTTTTTATTGAAAACTTTGCAGCATTTTACTGATTCATAACTTGAAAGGAACCGGCCCTGCTGTATTTCTTTCCTGCCTGGAAATTCTGCCTGGAGCAATGGATTCTTTGGCCATACTGCAAAAGCTGGGGGGAAATTCGGCCCTAAGGTTCCAGCTTTAGTTTTTTACAGTTTTAAAAGCCTTTTGGGTATTAAAACGCCTGGATAAAAGAGACAAAAGCACTATGGAATATATATGAATTTAGCCTATTTTTTATTTCTGTGTGTTCATAGTAAACATTTTTTGTAAGTGACAAACACGGGCATATGACCACAGTATCACAATCAAGTTTTTTTTTAAGACGACATTAACAATCACTCAAATTTATGCGGCATTTGCGCAACACAAGTTACATATTTGCAAGGTTTACCTATAAGTACAATAGGTATTAACATTTCACTACATTTAAAAAAAATAAAGGTGACCTGTTAGTGACCACATACATCTAAATATACACAACACAAACTGAAGGCAATTCATGATTTTCTGTCCCCTCGGATTCACTGAAATGGGCAGTGCTGCAGAACTGAAAATTATATCATTCTGATGTATGATATTCCATATTTTAAAGAAAAGAAAACATTTCGCATACTGAGTGCATTTTCTAAAAACCCAATCTTTGGTCTAAAAGTAAACAAAAAGGAGGAAAAAAATAAGAAAGGGGAAATAGCTCTTTTTTTTAAAAAGTGGAGGACAAAAGAATCCATAGTTAAAACGTAATTCTTGAACTTCTCTGCCAAATTGCTTTGCACCTTATACAAATGACCATTTGCATCAAGGGATTTATCCATTTTTGTATTTTTATTCCCACGATCGGCATCCAGCAACATATTCATGGTAACTTATAATACTGCAAACATGGAAAATCTAGCAGCCCGGCGTTTCCTACCGGAATTAAAATGGCCAAAAGCATTTCAGATATACATCCTACGAGATTTTAATATTAATACTCCCTTCCTTCTTCCCAAATGCATTGTCTACGAGGTATTCTTCCCATCTTGCTGACTCGCCTCTCTGGTTTGGAATCATAAACAACCTTTAAAAAATGAACAAACGTACAGAAAATGGGGGAGGGGGGGAAACTTAATAAAAAATACCTGGACTCTTTTTTTTTCCTGGGTGAGTTTTTGTTTTTTTGTTTTTCCTTCCTATTTTGTTCTTTTTTAATAATCTGGCTCTCGTGCTCTTTCTCGCTCGCGCTCGCTCGCTCTCTCGCTCTGGCTCGCTCTCCTTTCGCTATCATTTACAACGCAAAGGTGTGTAAAATGTTCACTTACAGTCTTGGCTCCCCTGGAGGTTAATGTATTAACGGGTTGGAGGAAGACCCCTGATTTTGATGTGTGAAATAATCAGAAAGTCCCCCCGACAATCCTGTGGTGAAACTCGGCAAGGAGGGTCTTAAGGACTCGCACGGGAGCGTGGAAGGCGCCTGAGGCGAGGTGGAGGAAGAGGCGGCCCGGCCCGTCATGGAAGAGCTGCTCTGCGAAGTCATGGAAGGGTGAGGGACGTGGGGGAAAAAGTAACTGGTCTGGCCGGCCGCCAAGAGATTGACCGAGCAGGGGTTGAGGGAGTAGGTGCCCGAGCACGGCACCGACAAGCCGCAGGGCACCGAGGCGGCCAGGGCCGCCGCCGTGAGATGGTGAGTGGCGTAGGGCAGCTCGCCGTTGACCAGCCTGTCCACGCTCAAGCCGTTGGAGGCGGAGAAGGAGTGGTTGTTCCCCAAGGAGTTCTGGGTCAGGACTGAGCTGTAGGGCATGGGGTGGCTGGGGTAAGCCGACGTGCTCCCGTTGTAGCTCAGCGTGCTGCTGGCCCGCGGATGGTGCAGGGAGAGGAAGGGCGACATGGGCCAGTACAAAGAGCCCGCCCTGTCCATGAAGGTCAGGCCGGTGGAGGTCAGGCGGGCGCCCCGCTTGAAGGCCAGCTTGGCCCGGGAGGTGGTGGAGCGCCGCCGGAGCTTGCCGGTGGTGCCCCCGATGAAGACGTCGTCGCTGGACGGGTCCAACATCCAGTAGTTACCTTTGCCCGGGTCGTCGTAGTGCCGCGGCACCTTGACGAAGCACTTATTGAGCGACAGGTTGTGGCGGATGGAGTTCTGCCAGCCCTGCTTGTTCTCCCGGTAGTAGGGAAAGTTTTTCATGATGAACTCGTAGATGCCGTTGAGGGTGAGGCGCTTCTCCGGGCTCTGACGGATGGCCATCATGATCAGCGCGTTGTAGCTGAAGGGCGGCTTCTCGTATTTGCCGTTCTTCTTCTCGCCCTCCTTTCCCCCGCCATCCCCGCCGCCGGCCTCCTTGGCCCCTTCCGGCACCCCCTTCTTCTCCTCGGACGGCCCTTTCTCCTTGTCGTCGAGCTCGGCGGCTGAGCCGGCTTCCCCTTTGCCGGCCAAGAGGTCCCCTTTGACTACCTCCAGGGGGCCCGAGGGGGCCGGCGCCCCGGCGGCCGCGGCCGCCCCCACCCCGGGGGGCTGCAGCAGAAGCTGGCTTTTTTCTTCCTCCTCGTCGTCCTCAGCTGGGGTTGCTCTCTGAGGCTGCGGCGGCTGGGCTGGGTGGTGGTGATGGTGGTGGTGGTGGTGGTGATGGTGCGGGTGGTGGTTATTATGGTGGTGAGGATGGTGCTGGTGGCTATGGTTGTTGTCGCTCTGGACGGCTTCGGGCACCAGGCTATTGATGCTGAAGGACGACTTGGGCAGCATTTTCACTTCCTTCCTATCGCCCATGTCCAACATCACACTCTAGGCAGGAGGGGAAAGTCGCACAGCCGGGAGGAAGGCGAGGCAACCGGCGCGGCGAGGTCCGTCCTGGAGGGCGCAGCACCGGGCGGCAGTGAGGCGGCGAGAGCGGCTGGGCACTTGCACACCACGAGCTCCAGAGTTTTGCGAGGCATGTAGCAAGGACGGGAGCGCCTGTGCAAGGGATGGAAAAGACCAACTAGCTCCTAGCAAGGGAGCCAGAGCCAAAGCCACGGGAGGGGGGAAAAGGAGGGGTGCAAAATGGTTCAAAAAGGGGATTTTCCAAAGGGCACGAAAATATGACTGCGCCCCCCTTGAAAAAAAAAAAGGATCCCCAAGTCGTTCTGTCCAAACTACTTCATGATGCCTGGAACCCCCCTATTCCACCCGAGCAAGGGAGGGGGGGAAAATCAGCTGCCGGGCTGAGCCTGAGAGCAGCAGAGACGGCTTTAGCTACAATTAATTTCCGAGCTACAGACACACACTAGGGCTGTAAAAAAATTTTTGGTTTAACCTTTCTCCCCAGCTATCCAATCAAAGAGCGCGGCGTGCAGGGACGTCTCTCTTCCGGCTACCCAATCAGCGCCGGGCTTTTTCCGCCTCTTCCCCTAGCTCTTTCGTCGACCTCCTTCCTTTTTCAGCCCGCGCAGCCTTACCGGAGGGCGTAAGGATACCAATCGGAGAGGCGAATCACCGCGGCAGGTTACTTATACCCGCCTCTTCCTTCTTTTCTCTTTCCTGGCAACACCCCTCCCTTCCCCCCATCATGTCACTCTCCAGTGGGAACCATATATACATATATATGTATATATGGTATGGCTGGAGGTACGGATGAGTAACTGTAACGCCCATATACACGTCTCCCTACTTGTGGGTGTAACCCCCGTTCCTGCTGCCGGGGTAGGGGTGGGGGTGGGGGGGCGGTGGCCGTGAGGAGAGGAAATGGAGGGCGGGGGAGGCGGGGAGGGGAGAGAAAGGCACTACTTTGCGGAATCAGCCGCGCCGTCTCGCCGAGGCCCAGTTTCCGCGGCCTCTCCCGCCTCGGCTCCCGCGGCCGCGCTTTGGCTGACTTCTAGAAAGGAAAGCGGCCGAGGAGGCCTCTCCAGCCCTCCTTCGGTTGCGATGCACCTCACCTGCCGGAAGAGGGAGGGCGTCCTGTGTCGGCGGGCGTGGACTCCGGGGCTGGCGGGCTTTTGGCAACGGAGCTGCGGCAAGGCCGGGGGAGCGGCCAGCGCTTCTCAAGTCTGGGCGCTGGAGCGTCGGGCTCGTCCTTTTGGCCGGGAGGGGGTGAGAAGGGCATAAGTAAAATAATAAATGAGCAGCAGGTAAATCCTCCTCGCTCCCGCTCCCCCAGCTCTCTCTCTCTCTCTCTCTATCTCTCTCTGTGTGTGTAATCTAGTCCCCTCCCGGTGGGGCGATGTCCTCCCTCTCTGTCTCTCAGATGCTGGGCGCGCCTGCTTGGCTCCGGAGGAAAAGGCCGGCGAGGTTCCTGACGAAACGGGCAGCCCTGCATGACTTCCCTTTGCAAAGGCTCGCTTGGACTTTTCGCGGGAAAAGACTTTTCGGTACAGGCGGGAGGCTGCCTGTCGCCTGGGAAGTGGGACTCTCTTCAAAAGAGAAACGCGCGGAGTAGCGCAGGCTTAAAGACGTTCGTTTTATTCTAAATACCAAAAGTTAGGGCTGCTTTCTTTTGTTTTTTTTTCCCGTTAGGAGAACCGACTCTTTTAATTTATTTCAATCTTGATCGTAAACATACGCCTAGGTTACACATTATTTCATCGATGCTAATGTTCTCGAGAGCCTGTCTTTTGCATCTTTTACGCCCGGAATTGGCTGGTTTGCTTTTAGTTTTAGTTTTATTTTGACTGTGAGAGAGGATCCTCGGAGGAGGAAAAGGTCGGTTGGATAAAAGAACCAACTGCTTTTGGCGCTCTGTCCCTCGCCGGTTTGGTTTTTTTTTTTTTAAAAAAAAAAAAGTTAATACAGATGGAAAGAGGCGAGTTTGCCACGGTGAGGGTTTCCTTGAGAAGGGAATTAATCATCCGGATCAAATCGTCTCCTTTCCAAATCCTCTCCTGAACGAGACGCGCAGACTTTTGCTAGAGAAAGAAAGCCCAAATCCAGAGAGCAAAGTGTCCCCGGGGCTGGGCGTCGGCGGGTGCGTATTGCGGGAGGGTGGGAGGGCAGGGGAATATCCGGATCAAAGTTAAAGCGAAGCTGTCATCACTTTATCCACATCAGCACATCAATACGTTCAGAGCGTAGAAAATGTGAGCTTGGGCTGCAGAGCGAGGCCGGTTTCAGGAATGGAGGGAGGGCAGAGCAGAAAGCTGTTTTAATTAACGCTGAAGGTTCGCCAAAGAAAAATAAAAACTGCCTGGGAAGAACATAAACCTTTCAGGAGGTAACCTGTGCAGAAGGAAGGGATGAACTAAAGAAGAAGGTTCTGTAATAACCATTCGCTTCCCTAAAGCAAGCAGTAAGAAACTGCATTTAAAAGGATGATTTAAAGTGATTTAATCCACTAACAACTATTATATCTGTTCCCCCACCACCACCAGAACCTGAGATCACGTCATTCTTCAAAGGCTTGCTGCTTGCCTGTATTAAAATGGTGTAAAGTTGAGAGGTGTGAAAGATAAATAGCTATTGTCAGTGTTGTTGTTGTTATTGTTATTGTTATTGTTATTATTTTTAGAAAGCTTCCTGTAAATATCTTTTTCCTCCTCAAATTCTGGGGGAAGAAGATAGCTTAGGTAAACACTGACTGATGTGGAGCAACCATACTATATGATATGCAGGAAGGAAAGTGTTGATTAACACAGAAGGGGGAAAAAAGCGAAATTAGCTGATTGCATGCTCATAAGTGCAAGCTGTCATTGAACTGCTTTTAAAATAGACACAGCTGGGTGTTTGTGTTGCAAAAATTCTTGTGTTTTTGCTAATACTGAAATAAGCATGATTTTGTATACCAAACATTTTCGGATCATTAAAATTTGTAATCTGCTCTGGTTGTGAAACACAAAGAGAAGCAACGGATTCCTTTGGCTGCCACATTTGCTGATATGATATTAACTCAATCAGGTCTTGACAATTGGGGCCATTGTAACCCGTCTTCAGTTTTTTTAAAAATCTATTTAATATACACAATGTCCAATATGAGTGTAGTATGTTAGCATGGAATTGACCTCCCTCTAAAAATGTTTTATTCTGAAACAAAACTGAAGGAGAAGATTTGCATTTACTATTATTATTGATGTCCTTTGTTGAAAATGGACTGCTCTGAAGTCTTATTCTTTTCTATTGTTTTGGGATCCAGCATGAAAATGAAAAAAGGACAGACCTTCGGTAACAAATAATAGGAATAATTAAATCAATATTCTGTTCCCGGGATCTTACCTAATCTGTGATCAAAGCTGGGAAAGCTATACTTCCTTCCTCCAAAACATAGATATTAAATTGATATATCATACATTTGAAATTCTTTCAGAGAGCAGTCTGAGTCTCAGTCCAGTGTGAAACAAAGACTAAAATGTTGCTGATCTCCATTATTGAAACAGGATTGCAGAATGGCATCTAGACCCAGCACCAAACTCAATGAAAAGTTCATCTACATACAGGAAGAATACAGGCTTGGAAAGAAATTTGCATTAGAAGCAGTTCAGAAGATCGTTGTCTCTCTGCCACCCCATGCCCACCTCCCATGAAGGCCGAGATTGCCATTTCCAGACTGTTTATTTTTTCAAGGGTAGCGTCTGGTCACTCAAGAATGCCTTTTTTTTTTGCCTAAAGACTCACTTAAAAATAACAAAACAAACCCGATGGGAAAGTTCTGGCCACAGGTGCACCATTAATCACCCGCATTTAGAGCCCCCAATTTCATTCATTTTCATGAACCCAAATAGCCCAGCCTCTCTTCTTCAACCAATTCAGACCAGTTTGGAGGACAGAATGGTTAAAGCCAGGAGTAATTAATTACTATTAGGATGCTTGCGAGGGAGGGGACACTTTTGGGCAAAACCAAACTTGAGCACTTTTCAGTCACATTAGTTTTCCTGTAAGCATTAATTTCTCCTGCAATCTTCCTTATTAAGATCAACCGACCTCTGGAGGATTTTGTCAATTCCCTTCCTATGCCAGAGAACACAAAATCCGAGAAGATCTGCATATTTTAGAAGCCCATCCCACCCAGCCTTTTTTTTTTCTTTTTGGTCCTACAGCAAGGATAAGCAGGTAAACACTTGTCTGAAACTTTTTTGGACAATGTAAACCCCCACCCCCACCACCCCAGTCATTTCAGAAGCGAGAATGGGTGAGTCTTAGGATAACTAGAATGAGCACTTGATTTGGGGTTGCCTTAAAACAATGGTTTCCCCGCCAACCTAAGAATCGGCTTGTGAAAGAGACTTTGGTGTAACTCAGAGGCAAATGATCTGGAGGAGATGAACCTAGCGAGCAAAAGGCAAGAAAAGGAAAGGCCTGTTGCCTGAATTCACCAATTGTCCACATTCGTGTTCTGAGGAACAATCTGTTCCTCCCATTTTAGACTTATGGAGGTGAGAAGAGAAGCCCATTTTCCCATTTAGGAGCCATGGGTACTTGAGAATAGCACACCGTGTTCTCAAGTCCTTCCTCTGCGTGACTCCCAAGACACCTAGCAAGGGCTGAGGCCAACCTGAATTTCGCCCTCAAGAGCCATTTTTCCACAAACGGAACTTCTTGGTGCAGGCCACGTTCCTCCTCTTCCGGTGGTCAAGGTGAGGGGCAGGTGGCCCGCAAGGCTGATGAAGAGTCCAGTGCTGAGGAGAAGGCCACCTCCGGGGCTTTGTAGCTTGAGAAGAAACAGGGCGCCTTTGTCTACCACAGCAGTGGTTAGTCTTGGCTGTGGGTTACAAAATCACTTTTGCCGGGCTGCTCCATGGAAGCACATTCATTTGGAAGACCTTGGTTTTGACAGTTCTCCCTGCCTGTCCCATCCGCCTTCCTTCCAGATAACGTCAGCTGCATAGAGGAAATAATCGGGTGTATGAATATTGGCCGTGGAAAAAAGTGGAGACGAGGAAGAGAGAAATGGCTAATGTAACTTTTTTCCTAACCTAATGCTGTCCATACCTAAGGGCTACAAGTCTCATCAATCTCAACCAGTGGGCCCATATTGGCTGGAACTGGTGCGAGTTGTTCTTCAACACAAGTGGATGAACACCAAGTGGGCAAAGGCCACAGGAGAAGTTTCTAACTTGCAAAGAAAGGCTGGGCGCCAATAAAAGTAGAGAGGGGGAGAGAAGGCAGATCTCCTTCTCCCCCAGTTTTCAAAGGGGTTTCCTGCGGACTCTAGCCAACGCCGGTGTCATCCTGAGCAGCTGGGAATGGCGATAACATTTAGCGATTAGAAGTTTCTCTCTTTAGCGTGTTATAGCTTTCTTCTCTGGGTTTTGGTTACAGGTTCTACCATTAGGTTGGCGAGAACAGTAGTGAACTAAACTTCCCAGTAAGAGGTCTTCACACCAGGGAAGTGTGACTTTGCCGCAGCAGCCCTGCCTCGTCACTCATTAGGAAGCCGCAGGTTGTCAGCGGCTTCTCCTCTTGGCGCGCACACGGGTGCGCGCGTTCACACGCACAAACTGAAACTAAACGAAGGAGCACATGATTAAAAGACAAGCGTCTACGGGGCCTGTCATTTCAGCATCTTTCCATCATAACATTGTGGCACAAGGAAATTTGCTTGAAACCCTCGGAAAAAAAAAAAAAATCGATGGAAGCGGAGGCCTGAAGGGGAGGGCTTTCAATTTGAGCGAATTGCTGGCTCCGGATTGCCTTCTGCTGAAGAGGAAGAAGAGATGCTGGCAAATACCAGAGGTCTCCAGGGGACTTCTTGGAAATCCCTGGAGGCATCGCGGACTTCTCTTCGAGCAGGTAGGTGGGCATTGAGAAGAGACTCGGGAGAGGGGGCGTAGTACGCCTTGAATCGATGCACTTGGGGTAGGGGATAGAACAACCTACCAAGCCCAGTTTCCCTCCAGCAGGTGTCGGAGAACTCCCCCTACAGCTGCAACTGTCTGGGACACTCCGTTCCCCGTGACTAATGTTTGTTGGCAAGGCTAAGGAAGAGGAGGAGGCGACGCTGGTGGTGCTGGCAGCGCAGGCACCGTCTGGACTCTAGCGATCAACACTTTTCGGGTGCAAACCTTCAAACCAGTCAAGGCGAGATCAGCTTTCCTTATTTTCTGGGTTATGCAGCCCACATCACGCCCCCACCCCCACCCCAGCCCAAAGAGTTAAATGCTCAGTTCCGCCGAGAAACTCGCGAGGTTGCTATAGAGGAGGCGCAATTCTCTAAGGCCCGCTTGAGAATCTTTGGGAAAAGGTGGGCAGAGTTATCTCAAGGGGATCCGGTCTGCTTCGGAGGCCCGTCCTGTATGCTGTGAGCTCGGAAGGAAATCCCACTTGGCTTATTGCCAAGGAAAGACCCGCGCTCTCCCTTTGGCCGAGCTTGCCGGTTTGGGCCTATCAAAACAGGTCGCAAGCTTTCCACTTACACAGGTCTCTTTTCAGCTGGAGAGGAAGCGAGTAAAGAAGTAAAAGTGGGATGCGTTGAAGAGAGAGCAACAGCCCTGGGTTTGCGCCGAAGCTTTCGAGGCACTGAACTCAAAGTGTGTGAATCATGA